TACAATAAAGCTATGTGCTAACGCTCCGACCTCTTTCGAATTGTAAGGCGTCAAACGCCGATTATCGATTCGTCGCAAGGTTACGGAGAGAGAGGGGTATGATGGAGATTATGTTTTTGAATGTGTTGGGTACCTTCAACAGTTTTATTTCCCTCTTTATTGAAGTGTTTACTTGTGTTGTGTGTTATTGTATGCCATCGCGTTCTACCTGGTTTCTAAAAATCAATCGGGGATCTGAAGACCCATTTCAAACGTGGGGGTAACTGACCAAACGTAACATTTATCAATTTTGTGCCGAAACCAAGCGGGCTGCAGCTTGCCAGCCGATATAGGGAAGGGCATCGGAAGTCCGTTGCATTTGAGCGTTAAACCTCATAACGGCAAAATTGTTCCTTGAGGCCTCTGCCCCACATCGGGCACTTAATCTGTTTCGTTTGATTTAAAATGCCCTGACATGAAGCAATGCATCACACTCGGCAAACCGGGGACCACAAACAGTCACATTCTTTTTTGTTGTTTGTATTGGATGTTGATTCCCCTCGGCAACAAGTAGTTGTCTCTTCTCTTGCTGTGTGGCTGCACCATTGCAATAGATTCTTCATGGATGCTGGCATGCAACTAACGACTAAAACAATCGCTCACAACTGCACAGGTGACGCGCTCTCAATAAGGTCGGCACTCCTCAATGCCAACCATATGCACCGAGTTTTCTAGCAGTGTAAGCAGCCCGAGAGGATATATGTGGCTCCCGATGCATGCCTTTCTCCGCTACTTGGAGCCGACCTCCATCTCGTGCCCGCCACTTTGGCAGGTTTTGGCACCCGGCGTCAGCTACGCCGCTTCAAACAATGAATAACTGCACTCCCCATCCGCTTTGAAGACGCGCTTCAAAGGCACGGCCGGCGTGCCGATGCAAAACCGGTCTGCAGGACGACGGAAACACTCGTGCGATTTCATTCACAGCCAGCGGTGGGTGCAGTCATTGACGCGGAGGCGTGAGACCACCGCGGCGTAGACAGGTGATGCTTAGCATGAGTGGCGTAGAGCCAACGCAGACAGGTGGGGCAGTCAGGCTGCGTAGAAGTGGAGGGGCTGAGCTGGTGACGTGCGGCGCCTCCTCCCACCTGCAGCCGAGCAGTCTGCAGGCGGTCATTCAGATGGTCAATGGTGATCTCCATACCGTGGCGCCATAGGAAAAATCCTCTCCGCTCAGCACGTCACGCTGCGGGCACTGGTAACGGCGCCGGCCGCTGCTTTCAGTAAAAGTGGCGCGGGCGGGTGCCGCGCGCGGCAGCGGCACCTCATTTCTGGCGTTGACGGCGACATAATTGCCGCTGCCTTACAATCTCGGCGCAGCGAAACACGCGTTTGCCGCGGCGACAATGTGAGAAGGCGCGCGGCGGCGCAGCGGGGCAATTTTGGCCGTCGGCCGGCGCCCTCCGGGGTGCCGACTGACTGTGACGGGCAACGCGGGTCTCGCAGCCCCCCCCCCCCCCCACCAGTCCCCTCCCCCCCCCCCCAGCCCCGGCAGGACTCAAGCCGGGCAGAAGGCTGCGGAGCAAGAGTGGAGAAAGAAGAGAGAGAGAGAGAGAGAGAGAGAGAGAGAGAGAGAGAGAGAGAGAGAGAGAGAGAGAGAGAGAGAGAGAGAGAGAGAGAAGAGAGAGAGGAGAGAGAGAGAGAGAGCGAGAGAGAGAGAGAGGAGAGAGTGCGTCTCGAGTGCTGAGAGAGAGCGACACGAGCACAGGTCAGCCACCGCCATTATGCCAGCGGCAGTGAGGTTACATGTCTGGAATCTCTGTCAGCGAATGTCGGAGAGTACCGTAAACCCACTTTTATAGCCCCGAAATTCATGCAGCAAAAAACCACTAGGTGACGAATATTACGGAATAGAGCAGGCCACACCTAGACAAGATATGGGCGAGGGACCAGCCCAGATAACCCCTGCATACTTTTCAACACGGGCACAGCTCCATTTGGATAATGGCGTGTCAACGATATGACGCCCGCATCATCACTCTCTCCGCTTTTTGATGAAGTCTAGTGCGGATGCGGAGCCCAGATGAAAGATGGATAGACACCCATTTGTAGAAGCAGAATATATTGGGCGAAGGACAGACGTCATTGGTAAATACTACAACTTTTCCATGACCCCAGAAGTTTGAAATATTCATAACATGGCTCAAGAGGACAAAACTTGACCATACTGAACCCCATCGCATGTCCACACATGCCCCACCATTTAAATGTGCGCCGGTGTTTGGGCTGGTAAAACCCGAATTTGAGGCTTTAATATATTTTGATTTCTTCAGCGAAGCAATTTGAAGCTTGAAACACTTTTATTGGAAACATTGATGGCATTAAGTAGAATTTCAGCAGCAATTTTGAAATAATAGTGTTTGTTATGCCTGCAAGCCACGTTTGGTCTTCATAGTGTCATCGACACCTCAGATACCATTATGAGTAAAATTTCACTCAGGGCAGTGATGATTTTTAGGTACTGATATTCATAAGCCAGTTAGCAGCGTGTGATGCGAAAATCACACTCCCTTTGCAACTTTTGTGGGCCTCTGGAAATCTTGAAATGTTCCACCGCTATTGGCGCTTATGGGCGCGTTTCAATGTTAAAGGGAGTTTTCTACATATACATGGTGTTTTGAGCCTAAAAAGCCAGCTTGAAGACATTTCGGTGCTGTTCACAAACCTGACATTCTTAAGACATAAGCCTCTTCAGTTTTTAGCTAGTGCGTCCGCAAAAATGGGGAAAAGCATATCAGGGAAAGCATGTCAAAGCCATCTTAGCATTCATGACGCCATAATAATGCCATTTAGATCCTGTCATTCCCTGAGCCATGTGGCAATCAAGACCAAGAAAAACATGTTTGTCCGGGCGTTCATATCTGGCGTTCGTGGGCACGATTTCCAGACATAACAGCCGTCAATAGGCTGTCGATCAATATTGTGCAAGACACGATGACATAATCAAACCATGACGCATGGACGGGCGTGCTTACTAAACTAAGAATTGTGCTGCCTGGAGCAGTCTTTCCATTTAAAAAGTGTGTCAATAGTTAAAAGTGAGCTTCTTTCACCATATCTGATGCTTGCTTCAATATTTTCAAATGTCAAATATTCCCTTTCATGGTTATGTTTTCGTTTCAGCGCCTATGATTTTGTTTTAGTATGTGGAGGTGATTGACGTCGGCGTTGGCATTGACATTGCAGTTCTGACTGGCTGCAGTGCTAGTCGGGGCCGTCCACATCGGTCGTTATAAAGTACAGGTAAGGATTGTCGTAGGCTAGAAGTGCGCAAGCCAGGCAGTGTGACAGCCCCCCCCCCCCCCCCCCACACACACACTTGTTTTTGACCCCTTAAAGCTATCTTCCTATTCGTCAGCACACTTCGAGTGCAAATAGCACAGTTTGTTTCACAGATTCACACAATGTCACAGATTCAAAGCCTACCTGAAAGGGAAATCTCCAGACTCGAAGATGTTGAAGCAAGCATCAGATATTATGAAAACGCTCAGTCGTAACTATTTGTATATTTTCAGTAGAGACGGCTGCTCTAGACAGCACAATTTTGCTATTTAATAAATATTCTCCTCGATACGCCATTATCTGATTGCGTCATGAGACGCTGGTATGACGATGAGGTACTGCCAACCCAGCCGTGCAAAATTACCACCGTTGCGCTCATCTGTGATGCTTCAAACTCGCAGAAGATGGCGGTGGCGGTACTGGAAGTGTTTGCTGAGCCAAAGATCCTTATGCACTCGTGTTTCAAACACGAGTACACAAGGAGATCTGGTCAGCAATGGCTCTTTCTTGTGGTGGTCTTGCATATTTACCCGTGAGTTTATGATG